CTGTATTATTTTTTACAAATAATGATACGTGCACGCATGTCGAATAAGGATCTCTCCATCCGAGTTTCAGGAAGCAAATTAATTCACCTTTTCACAATGCCAGAATTTTGAAAGCTGGATTTTTATGTCCAAACTTGAGGCAAGGGGCCAAATCCTTTTTTTTTATCCTTTTCTGACTGTTGACAATCAGACCCATGGTGTGGACCATGCAGTCTATCCTGGCTGTTCACCATTAATGGAGCGGTATTTTCTCCGGTGGACGCCCTGTAACCGCACGTGAGGTTGCTGAAGGATTCTTTTTAACCTTTATAATTTTTTTAAATGTGCCTGGTGAGTCAGGGAGCACAGTGCCAGGTCACAGCCTTCAATATCCACTGCTGACTGTCCTGAATACATCAAACAGTCGACAGAGGAGTTGAAGGGGGGTAAAAAAAAAAAATGTCTGTCAGATGAGAGAAAGGAAATAACCTGTGACTAAAGCATTTTAATAGGGGGGGAAAAAAGGATTAAACAGCAGACCATTCCTCCAATAAAGAATTCATGTAATCGCTTTCTTCTTTTCCATAATTGCCCATTTAGATATCGACCTGCGGTGACTTTATCACCTTAAAAAAATATTGACCGTAGATAACTAACTTCTTGCCGTGCTCCCAAATTACATTTCTAATATTGCTTTGGAAACGAGGGCGCCGAGTCCACTCCGAATGACACGTCTAAAGCCCCAGCTGCTGGCCGTTTAAAGACTTTTTCTACTGAATTGTTTTAAGGAGCATCACTGGCCTGAGGACACTGGCGCTCCCCCAGGAGGCGTGCACTGTGATGGAGGAGATGAGGGGGTGCGTTGGATTTGCAAACCTGCAGGAGAGAACCCATGTGGCAGCCGAGCGTGGCGGCGGCCAGCCCGGGCTCATATGTATGGAAAACACCAGGTCTGGAGAGGGGAGTCACAGGGGGTCACGCTAGTCAGAGAGGCAGCCCGAGGTTCTGGTGCAGGTTAGAAGGTTTTGGTTTCGGGAGAAGAGGCTAATTTCTTCTACTTGGCTGAGCAAAGGCCTGAATAATTGCGCCCCCTGGGTTGGCTTCTGGGGTAAAGTGGAGGTAGAGCAGAGTGTACCGGCGCGAGGAGCCAATGGGGGAGGTTTAAGACGGGCAGCAGGATCACAGAAATGGCCGCATCCAACACGTAAAGGAGGCTCATTAAACTTGTTTATGCCGCTGTGAGCAGAGCAACGTCTTAAAACATCATTTGTGTTTTACACTTGCCTCGGTGACATACGTACACGTATATTTATCTAAAGGAGTATGTACATTCAAGCAGCATCTCTTTTAAGCTCATCAAGATGCTAACAAGCAATTATTTTTTCCTTTTTGGTCCACAGAGACCGGACAAAAAGCTGTAAACAAAACAAATGTATAAATTAACAGTTCATTCCTTGGTGGACTGCAAATGCAAACCTATAAAATTAGATGATACAAAGCTTTCTGAAGGAAAATAGGAGTCAGACAGGCAAAGCTCTTTAATCGAAGCCAGTTGTTAAAGCATTATTGTCCATTTTCTAATTCAACCAGTGAATAATTACTACTGGAAAAGAGAGGAGAAGGGAAACGATCTTTAAGCTAGAAAAACTGACTTTTGAATGGGTTTTCCAAATGACTCATTACAGCTAGATGCTGCGGGAGGTTTTAATATGCGCTGTAGCCAAATGTCTGAATATTAAGTAGTTGCTCATATTTTGAGTTTTACCAGTGGGAAAGTGTTTTAGGGCATGACACAAACATACACAAAGCCTGTAGTCCAAACTCCCAATTTATTACAAACTCAAGATGGTAATTACTGAAATTATATGGCTTTTCAAGTATTTGACTCAGTCTCAAGTCTGTTTTGTAATGGAATCCCAACTAAACCAAGCCACCCGGCTATGTATTAATAAAAAGCACAATTTGTGTTGTTCACAACCACACGGTGCATGGTTTATTTTATTCACTGTGGCCTGAGGAGAATGTTGTTAAAAGGGGCATTTAAGATAGGCATAGATTTAATCAGAAATGTAAAATCATTAACATATGTGTATTAAAAGAAGATTTTTAGAAACTTGTTTTTACTTCGTGCAACTGGACTCTTTGAGAAAGATGCAGTACATAAAATATGACAAAAATACCTAATAAAACCTATTTTTATTTGCCTCCAACGTCCACATATTTATGAAAAAATATTTTTGAAAAAAATCTCCACAGATATCGACCAAGAGCACACCCAGAAACATTCAAATGAACGAGTTCAGAGTGGAAAACCATCTATTTATGAATACAAATAATGAGTTAGACAAGACCTCAAGCAAGCCAACCACAGCTGCTAGCTGCTTTCTAAAGACCTCACTCATAGAACAGCGCCCTCTAGCGGAAGCTTCGAGAAAAAGAAATCCAAAACTTGTCAATCTTTAATATTACAAGCTGAACTTACATTACTGTGAGAGCTTAATGAAAACTTGAATTTAAAAACTGCTAAAGCTACCAGCAGGTGTAAACTTAACTCATTTGGTTTTCTCCAATAAATCAAAATTGGATGGTTATAAAGCTGTGCAGAAGTCTGCTGGTGTTCAGGCACTTTGTACAAATGAAGTAAAACGATTCAGAGGAAAACTGAGTCGTGAATGGGTGGGCAGTAGTTCAGACAAAAAGCTCTGCAAATATTGAGTTCGAGCTTTTGTTGTGCCATGTAGATAACTACGAGTAAAAAAAAAAGATACATCGTGTTCAAACCTGAAAAAAGGTACGCGAATAAGGCCAGAGAGTTCTCGAAAAACGGAAAGATAAAACTACTATCCAGTCTGATAGTGACTCTAAAAAGATGCAATGAACCAGTAAAATAGAGAAAATGAATACTCTAACTCGCCTGTTATTAGAAGTCCAACCACTTCTCAACTTCTCAACAAATTCAGGCGTCCACGTTCGGCTTTCTCTTTCAAACCAAACTACTCCGGACAAACATCCCAGCTTGCGTTTTTCTTCAATTAGTCGAGGCAGGTGAAGCTAAAGAGGCCCCCTCGGCAACGATTGAAGACGCCCTCTGATTGGTCAGATATTGCGCAGCAACACACCTTTTTAGTATTCTGATTGGTTAATTATTTACTCAGTTAACAACTAACATCATGGCTACCTATGTCTCAGATTGATTTTCTATCAAAGTAATGCGTATAACATGAGCAAACTGGTGATACATTGATATAGTAAACACACACTTATGAGTTTAAAAATGAAATGTACTCATAACCATCTCTGTAAGAAATGTACTTACGTAACTGTTTTGTTAAAAAAACAAAATAATGTTTCACGTTTAACGTGTTATTTTCGTGGTCGCCTGTATATGTCCATCAACTAGTAGTTCCTATGCCAAGAAAGGGCCTCAGATGTTCACATTCAAACAAACAACATGCCTAAAATTGAATCTTTTTTATTTTTATTTTTTATTGATGATTCCTAAAGCAAAGCTGGATGCAAAGAAGTCTTTTGACTGAATTTTTGCTTCAGAAATTGGCATTACTGACTCAAATAGCTCTCCAGGCAATGTTCAAACACTTTTTACAAGAAGAGAATGTAAGAAAAACAGTACTTTTCAAACCCTAAACGCTTCAAAAGTTTGTTTTCAAGCCAATCATAAATGTAACTGAGGTGCAGCGCCTTTCACAGTCATGTGTATGAGTTGTCTTCCCAAATTTTCCATTGATTCTGCTGACAGATCCGTTAACTGAGGACAAAAGCCCAGAGAAGTGTGTTCTCGTGAAGCTGTTCCGTGTGTGGATGACGGCTATACCGGGACTAAACTTTCCCGGAATAAGTCTTGAATCCGCCACGACCCCTGAAGACTGAAAACCAGCGGCCTAACTCCTCGTGTTCATTAGAAAGTAAAGACTAACCCAGCTGTGCTGCCTGTTGGTAGGAAAAGAGGAGGTGACAGAGACGTTTACGAGGTGTGAGGGCCAGGGAAGCGAATGTGACATGTTCAGGTGTAATTATACTCACCTAGTTCACAGCGGAGATTAGGAAGCAGGGATGGATGAGGAAAGGAGCTGATAGAATATTAAAGTACTCAGCACAGTGTCCCCCAACACCCACATTTTTTTTTTAATCACCGTATCATTTCAGGGTCTCACTTTTGTTTGCCTTTTCCAATTATAAAGGTGTGACTGTGCGCTTCCACACACCCCCCACATTCTGATCTGATTTGAAGTGCACTGAACTTGGAATAAAGATAATTTTCTTTTGTTTGTCAAGAAAAATGACTGGAGTTGAGTTCATTATCACCTACATATTTCCCTCCTGGCTCCGTCCCTCTGCAGGCCTAATCCTCTGTGACCGCTGCAACTCTCCAGAAACTCTGAAACAGAAAACTGAAACATCCATCTACTCTCTGAACAGAAAAAGAGCTCTTCAAAGTGAGCCAGCACTGCCCCCTGGTGGTCGTTGGTGGTCGCACGCCGCTCCGGTGAAGGGTCCCACCTGTCAGAAAATGGATTATGACAGTCTAATTTATTATCATACTCATCCCTTTGACCCAGAATCTCGGAGCTTCAGCCCTGATGTCCTAATGACAGGCGGTCACAATCAATCTGCTCACTCGCTCAAACACGCTCAGCAGCAGCAGGAGCCACGCAGGCTTCTCATTCACACTTTTGTCAAAAATGATTTATCAATTATGATGGAAGCACAGCAAGGGTGCCTGGGAGTATTACTCACTCTGGGGTCCTGTTAAGTAGATAAGAGAATTATTTGTAATGGCCAGCTTTATGAAAAGTTCCAATTAAATATTTCTGATGGAAATAATTTCTGTCACTATTCACTTTGCTTGGATCAAGAACCCACCAATAATATTGCGTAAACACAGATTTTATATTCAAATTTTGCCTGTATGTCATAGTGGGGTTGTTCAATGTGAATGTTTACTGAAACGTGGTAATGTTTTAGTTTGCTGAAACAGATATGAGATCAACACACAGCAAAAGTAAAAAAAATTATATTCAATTATCTTAATGGCAATTGGAGAAAATTAATCCAAAAATATAACATTTAATCAGTTCAATATACTTCTTTCAGTGATCAAATGGGACTGACTTTTTTGCCAAATTGGCCAAAGTTTCCGTATACAAAAATTTTGAGCATGTGAAATTAAGCACGTCCTAGTATTACTTTCATATCATTATCCGAACAATCAACAATCAAGACCTACTTCAGGAAGCTGCTCAGTACTGAAAATGTAAATGACTAAACAGCAGAAAGATGAGGCCACAGAATTTCTGAGTTCCCAAATCGTCTCGAACGCACCTGAAAAGTTCCAAATTCAACATGACTGCACCGAGAGATGGCAAAGGTGGTAATAATAACTTCTATTCCCATACAAGGCCTATCAGAGAACCATCAGATGTGATGTTCCCATGTGCAAAAAGCACCTAAACACACTGTTATTAGCCCCTACAGCTAACAGGTCACTTAGCTTGCAAACAATTTTAAAAAAAAGTTAAAAGTAGTTTTTTTTAAGACTTTAGGATGGTTCACGATCTTCTTAGACAAGATGCCAGTGAGCCTAGACTTGTTTCTTTTACCTTTAATACTTTTTTCGTGATCTTGAAAATGAAACTTAGTGACACCAAACATCCACAGAAAGTCAGACCCAAAATCTGGCAGTGAGTCCTCAAGACGTTCGACAAAACCGCCACCGATCACAGCTCGGCCGTGGAAGGCCCGGGGTTCTTCCCCGCCCCGTCCAGCTCCGTCCCCTGAACGCTTCGACCCACCAGGACGAAGAGGAGGCCGGCCAGCAGGCAGAAGAAGACGGCCACCGGGGCCAGGAGGAAGGATGGGCCGTGCTGGATGCTGAGGTGGAAGGAAGGGCAGCCGGACACCTTCCGGTGGAGGACAAACTGCTCCAGCGTGTCCAGGACCTGCACCCATATCAGATACATCGCCATGACGACCAGGAGACACAGGCCTGATGGCAAAAAAAGCAGACAAAAAAAACTGCTTGATTTCGACATAAAAACTTTGAAAAAGAAATAGAACAAACACAAAGCGGATTGTGTTAAAGGATCAAAGAAGTCAAAAGTCTTCCTCTTATTTGATTTGTTTTTCTTTTGAAGAACAGGTCGCTTTTAAACAACACCTGTCAGTTACTGCTTTGGTTCAGCTTTATCCGTTCGTCTTGTTCTGTCAGGATGCCATTTATTAGTCTTTTGTCCTCCCCTCTGAGAGACGGCTGGGAACCTGCAGGAGTTTTTCAGCGGCTCAGCGGGGGAATGTTTTGTTTTCCGTCTTAACCGCTCAAAGAAAAAAAGAATAAACAGGGCTCTATTATTAGTCCGCGTGATGTTCAAAGCTGCTTTTTTTTTATATATATAAATGAGGGAAAAAAGCATATTCTCGGTGCACAGAGAGCTGACATTACCTTTTTTATGTCTGGATACCTTTACTGGAGATGGAATTGGACGCTTGTGGAAGCAGCATTTTTAGCTTTTGTTTGGTTTTTTTTGTGTTTTTTTGTTTTTTGGTCCCGTTTTTTGTTGTTACAAGCTCGCACCTGGACCTTGTAATGTTATTTTCTGCAACATCCCCTACATCTTGAGCATTTCTCAAGCACCTCCGTTTTGATTTCCGGCAAACCGTTTGATGCACGTGAAGCTTTGGCACAGCAAAAGAATGGATTCGTCTTTGGAATATTGACAAAGGGAGACAGCTCGGCAGCGTTTGAGGCCAGCGTGAGCTTAGAGGAAAACATTGGTGCGCTCTCCGAAACTACACTCTTGAGGCAAAGGGTCACCCAAAAAGCTTCAAACACCGAGTCACACTTCTCTGAATCCAAAGAAAGCTTGGCAACAGAGTAGACTGCAGGCTAAGGAATTGCTCATCAACCACCATGGTGTCTTTTTAACGTTTTAAACCTCATTCGTGTGAACTGTGAACAAATTTAGCTGAACCAAAAGCAGCAATTTAAGTGGATTTGCTTCTGTGTATTAGGATGAAGAGATAATAACGCCCATAAATAGCTTTTTTTTTAAAAAAAAGAAGAGGTCATAGTAATATTTTTATTGAGAAATTAGGGAAAAGATCCACCATTTTTTATTGTCGGTTATTCCAGGTCAGGGTTACTATCGAGCAAGAGAATAGAACTATGGGAAATATATTTTCTATAAATCAAATCCTCAGCGTTTGAACCTACAACGCCAGCTTTTTTAAAAAGAGTGAAATGAATAAATATTTGTAAATCGATGGCAAGTATCTGTTTTAATGACTCGTTCTTCAGAGGAGTTTTGCCTGATTAATCTTAGGTGTGAAAACGCTTGACAAAGCACAACGTTGTTGTCTAAAACAAAGATCAGAGGAACAAAACGGGGTGAACAACACTGGGAAAGGCAACACCAAAACCAAAAAAACACAGGAACTCATTAAAGGAAAACATTTAACACCTACAAGCTATGGGGACAATGGGGACAATGACAAATAAAAGGCGCCACAGTTTACAAAGGTTACAACACACTCTCACAAAGCAAATACAGGAAAAAAAGTTGTTACGAATTCAACATAAGGCCAACACTACGAAACAGAATAATTGGATTAGTGATATAACCTCTGGGTTAACTCCACTTGTACACAACTTGCTGGAATGTGATAAATCCAGTTCGATCTACTCAGGCTATCAGGTTAACGGAGACAAAAAATTCCGGCTCTTTCATGAGGGAACACCGAACCGAGATTTAAAGAGCTGCCAACTTTCCGAAAAGTTCGAAATCTTTCAGGCCTTTTTTTCAGACTAATGTCTAAAAACAGGGCTTTTTGTGTAAAAATCATGTTAAATATCGTGTCAGCGAGTACAGAGTTTGGCCTTAAATATAATAAATCCAATAAAGGTTCTGCAAAAGTAGGCTGGTTGCATTAAAACATTTTTTTTAAAAGGTGGGAAACGGGGAGGGAAGTCATCTTACCGCCACAAATTTGAAGAGCCCCGCCCGTTTTGTAGAGCGTGTGATTGGTCAGCGGCGCAGCGCAGATGACCAGAAATCCACCCAGGGTGACAGCCATCACGCCTGTGGCCAGGAAGATGCTCCAGAAGGTCCTAAAGACTGAAGCGACAGAAGATCAGCGCCATTTTGGAAAAATCCTTGAACCCAACGTGTCAAACGATACCGACCGATGGAAGAGGGGCGGTCCAGGGGCTCCGGGTCTGAACTGTACGGCTCCACCGACACCGGTTCATGGACAGGAAACGGGAAGAGAAAAGCCGCCCGGCACACCTTCGACACCGGCTGACTGGCTGATGAGAGGAAAAAAAGGGGGGCTTTAATTTGGAGAGGTTATGGGTGCCGCTTTGGTATTTTCATGACTCGAGTCGCAGCATCAAGATGCGGGAATCTGCTCACATATCCAGATGTCCCATATGGAGTGGTCTTTGGAATCCCCCAGATAGGAGCAGCGCCAGAAAAGGCCCTCGTGGAAGATCTTCACAGCAAACCAGGAAGAAAAAACTATTTGTGAAACGATTTCGAAGTTTTTTTTGTTTTTTTTTCAAACACAGAAAATGCTAACAGGTGGTGTGAAAAGAAGGCCGGTGTTGTGCTGGATGCAGTTTGATTTACATTAACGTAACGAATGAAAAAATAAGTAAAACAGACTTTTTTTCTCTATAAATGTTGAGTGGCTGGAAATCAAAAATGCTGACTTTAAGCAGGCACCCCCTACAAGCTGCCCCTGCTGATTTTAACTGTGCTAGGTGTGCTGAACGAGTCCTGGCCTGCTCCTGAAGGGGGGGGGGGGGGGGCTCTCTAAGCCTGGCTGCAGGTTCTGATCCGCACAGAATGCGGCCTTGCCCACTTATTTTCCAACATTATTTTGGGGCAAAATCATGGTGCCTTCAGTTCAAAAGAGTCAATCGTTGCAGCTTTTTCCACCTGAGGCCGCAGTTATCTCAAGATTTCAAAAACGCAACAAAAAAAAGAATCTAGATTTGTCAACAAGAAAAAAATAGTATTTCCTTTTTTTTTTTTTTAAGTTTGTTCGAATTTTGGGCACATTAGCAGAAAAGCCTCCTTTCAATCAACATTTCCACAGAGCCTATTGGCTAAGCAAAACCCAAACGAGATGTCCCAATAGGCCGTCGCCTACAGGCTTTCTGACTCAAGGTACAAGTCGGTTCATGTCAAAGGAATGGTGTCGGTATGATGCTAAAAGGTAGAGAGCAAGATGGGGAAACCAGCAAAAACAACCCCTGAATAAAAAGGCTGTGATTATAAACTGTAAAAAAATCATTTAAAAAAGAAATCAGTGATGTCACAAAACGATGTGCAACATGCAGATCTGTTTCACCAATATCCCCACACTATTCCCTTTAGTGGAAATGCTCTAAAATAGACCTTTGGCATCTCTTCGAGTGCCCATCTGGTATTCAACTTGCCAAGACTAAAAGATTTTTTTTAATAAAATTTAAAAAATATTGTCCAAGTAGTTTATGAATATCTCTAAAACTCTAGTTTTGTAATAAACACATAAATTATGTTTTTATCCCCAGTTTGTACCCTCTCCTGTTTTTTTCCTTTTTCCCCCCCCATATGGGCTTGTTTTTTTGTTTGTGGACAGGCTGGGATGAGAAGTACCTTGACGTTGCTTTTGATTTCCTCCCGACCGCCCCCTGCGTCGCAGGACTCGGCGGCCAGCAGCCAGTACTCCGTCCCACAGGAGAGCAGCATGAACAAAAAGCCCGCCGCTCCGAAGAACAGAGCCAGAAAGAGCAGCGCCTTCAGCCTGTTGGCGGGAGACATGTCGAAATATCCGGCTATTTCCGATTCTGGAGGGACGATCAGGACGGCAACAAACGAAAATAAAAGCAAACGAAAACAAAACGACACCAGGACCGGGGTCTTTGGTGGTGCGGTGCTGGATCCCCGAGCACGTGGCAGGGTGAAAATAAACATGGGCATCATGTTTGTGGGGATACTGTTACAGGGGGGGGGGGGTCTCATACGCTCCAAAATAGCTGTATCAAGCAAAGGCCTTCGCCCAGACCGAAATACCAACCTGAAAAACAAACAAAAAAGGCAGAACGGCTCGACAAACAAGACGTCACAACTGTAGAAATACGTCGTTGGCTTTTATTGGAATGCCGGCATCGAAGTCCAGATTTGGTACAGTACAAAGCTATCCAGTATTACTGAGATCTAGGCAACAGTGATGGTCCACAACAGTCGCTCAAACTGCATGATCATTATATTAGTAGGCTTTTTTTTTTCTTTTTTTTTTCCTTTCACACTCCCCAAAGATGGGGCAGTGACCGTGTGTCACAATACTGCGGGACAGGACGACCTGGGAAGGATTAATATCCGAAGAAATCTGGAATTTTCTCAATATAAACAGAAATATTTTCTCAAGTTACCTTTTTTTTTTCTTCTTTCCCCTCCCCCCCTCAATGAAACACAAAAAAAGAAGTGATAATAGTCCTAATAAAAAGATGAAACATCCATGTTTTTTTTTGTATTTTTTTAAGTCAGAGGATAACCTTTTAGCCTTAATCTTTTTTTTTGCCCTCATTTTTCTTTTTCCTTTTAAAAGAGTAGGCAACATACAGCAAAAACCCACCCCGTGTACACAGAGAAGTACGTTTCGACGGGACTCGTGTCGATCGATTACAACCCTACGTGAGAACGCAAAAGGAGTCGGGAGATGTGAAGATCCTTTGTTGATTTGTTTAGTGACCGTTTTGTCTGCGGGTGCTTTTCTTTGGGGGCCCCCCTGAGTCACCTCCTTCCATCCAATTTGTCAATTTTGGGTGGGGCGGCTCGGTTTTGGTCCACTGTCGCTCGGGGTATTCCCTGCAAAGGCTTTGATGGTCTTTGCGATCTTTTCTTTTCCCCGCCTCCCTGCCCCTCCCCATTTCTTTTTGCCCCCCCCCCTCCTCTTCCCCCCCGCCCGCCCTCCTCCCCCCCCGGCGACGCTTAAGACATGACTCCGAAGACGGGGTTGTGGCGGCAGATGCTGGGCCCGATCTCCTCGTAGTCCTTCTTCGTGTGGCATACCTGGTAGAACTCCGGCTGCGGGAGAAGGGGGGGGGGGGGACGAGAATGATACTCACAGTGGAAGCCAGCATCGATCCTCCGAACCAGACGGCGTACCGTTGCATGTGGTGAGTGATGACTTGCACGTCAATGGGCTTTGGCTGTGGGAAATAAACAAATAAACACATTTTCGTAATCAAGAAAAATAGAAAAAACATCTCATCCACATCTTCTACGTTGCTCTACCTTCAGCTTGCCACCGCTGAGCTCCTCGCTCATTTTCAGTCGGGCGTCCACGGTCCTCTTCAGGTCCCTCTGGAGGCGACGGCCGAAGTCCCGGAACATGGTGGAGCCCCCGGAGAGCACGATGTTCTGCCGCACGTAAAACAGAGAAAGGGGTGCGGGTCAGCGGCGGGCTTTTTGGAAAATGGAAGAAACGCAGGCGACTGTCCCAAAGAGGAGTTTGACCGGGATACCGATTCAGAAGTACTTTCTGATGCCAACATTTACTTGTTACTATGGACCTGTTACATTCAACTTCATGTAAATGTCACACGGTAATGAGCAGGTTGGTACAAAAATGCTGTTAAAAAAAAAGACTTTTTTGAACAGTGTTCCTCATCACTATTGATACATTTTGTTGTTGAATGCCCATAACAAATGTTTTCCTTCTGTGAACAAAACAGTTAGGATAACCAGCATCAGCAACCAAACAAGAAACTGGGTATAAGAGAAATGCGTGCGTGTATTTAAAAAAAAAGAAGAAGAAGAAAGTAAGAAAAAAAAATTATACACGCATCTCATTTGGGGGTTAAATCAGTCTATCAGAAAAAGTCCTAAGTGGTTGTTTCATAAGAGAGAAAAAAACAAAACGTTGCTTTCTGTGTACACAGAGTTTGTCCCCAGAGCTCCTCGGGTGTTCATTGAGACATTTCTTCCAGTGCGTAGGCCCCCATCGGTGGGTTTCGGGAGATTGATGCGCGTACCTTGTAGAGTGGACGCCTCACGTCGATGGGGCAGTTCTGGATGACTTCGTCCACCACCTCCGAGATCGGCTGAGTGAAGTCTGGGTTGGCAAACTGGATGAGGAAAGAATGGCAAACAAATAAGTAAGTGGGTAAATAAATAAAAAAATAAAGCCATTTAAAAAGAGAGAGATGAGAGTCGGCACCTCGGGGTGGAAGAAGATCTCGGGTCCTAGGAAGCGCTCGTATCCAACGTCGATGGTGAACTCCTTCTTGGAGATGGCGTTGACGCCCGTGTACTGCTTGATCCACTTGGAGCCGTCCGTGTCATACTTGCTGAACTCTTTGACGAGGTCGGGGCAGACGTAGCTGAAACGCTCCTAAAAAAAAATTGTTTCAAAAGAGAAAAAACCTTTTCAAATCATGCAAAATCATGGAGTGGTGTTACAGTTTCTGTGCCGACCTCTAGTGGCCAGACTGGAAAACTGCATGTCAGAGGCAGCCTGTGTGTGGCTTCCTTTTATGGCTTTACTTACAGATTTACTGTTAGTGCTCTAGACTGGCCTAGGGTTGTCAAAAGTATCGATACTAAAATGTTGTATCTGGATACGATACTCATTTTCAAAAGTATCGATACCCCCCCCCCCACCTGCCGTCGCTGCCCCCCTTCTCTCAGATTTATTTATGTATTTTTTTAGACGTTTTTTATGGTCATTAACAAGACGTTAGCCTTGAACTGCTAGCTTCGGCTAATGGCTAATAATAACGTGCTACCATTAATCAAGTACATATCTAACGCCGCCCACATCCAAGTAACCAATAGGAAGATCCCAGGAAAGAAAATGGTAATGCCCCATGGCAATATAGACTTTACTTTAAAAATAGTGAAATTAATCTTTCGAACACTTAATTAAACTCTATCCGTAATATTATGTTAAAATAGTGTAATGTTAAATAGGTCTGTAGAATAAGTCCAAACAAGTTTAACCAAAAAATATTTATTTCTCACAATTATGAAGGCTGTAGGGTCAGGGTTAGGATTAGGGTTAGTAATGCGGGCCACCAGTCACAATAACATCAGTAACAGGTCAGTTTGAAATGAAAGACACTAACCCGTCAATTCTGTTAAATTTTGGGGTCTTTGTTTTTATCCTTGTGGTATCGAAAATGGTATCGAGTATTTTCCTGAGTATCGCTATCGAGTTGAAAATTTTAGTATCGTGACAACCCTTGACTGGCCCGTGACAGACGTGGGCGCTCACCTTCACGGCTTTGGCGGTCTCCAGCGACTGCTCGGGGGGGATCCCCACCTCCCGCTCCCTCAGAAGCTGCTGGATGAAGTAGGTGATGTCGCGCCCGGCGATGGGGATGTGCTTGATGCAGCTGCCGATAACGTAGCCTTCGGCCTGGGGGGCGGAGGCAAACGAATGCGGTCAAGCGTGGAGGAAAGAAGGGTGGAGAGGGGGGGCGGCGAGCGGAGAGGGGGCGCCTACCACCGGGATGACGTGCGTGACCCCGTCGCCGCTGTCGATCACGGTCCCCGTCAGGGTGCGCTCGCCCACCTGTCTGGACGTCCAGGAGGCGGCCAGAGCCAGGACGGCCTGAAAGACGGGTCCACAATTCAGAAAAACAGCCAGAAAATAACAGGCTCAACCATACGGTGCAGCAAAAAGAAAAAAATGACCATTTAGGGCTATGGGGTGAGATTTATAGAGACTTCATGCTCGATGACGACACTCGAAACCATTTAAAAGAAGAAGTGTGAATAGGAGCTTCCTCATAAACTTCCTCTTACTGTGCGACACTTTATTTAGCAGGCAAATCTATTATCACCCACAGTAAGTTCTGGTCTCGTATGCATTTCAGACAATGAAAAAAAGGACCTGGGTTTCCTTAGACGCACCTGAACGGCGATGTAGAGGCCGGGAACGTTGAAGGACTCGAACATGATCTCGGCCGTGTACTCGCGGTTCTCCGGGGTGTTGAGGGGAGGTTCGGTCTGGACAAGAAGCAAAAGGGTCAGTCGTGAGTGGCCCAGTGAAAACGTGGGCTTTTACCATTGCGTATCTGAATGATAAAATAAAAAAATTTAAAAACGACGGTGCGTTCGAGCCCCTAACCAAATAGACAGCGTATAATTTTCCTTCACACTTTTAAAAACAACTACCTTTCCCAGCTACTTTAAACGTATTACTCTGCTTTAAAAACAAAAAGCATAATGGGACAAAACTGTCCATCAGATTTCTGAGAGACATCACAAGCTAAATCACATTTGCATTTTTAAATATAATGTGATTTACTAACTTAACCTGCTGCTCACAATGTCACAAATCTATGGAAAGTAACTTCAATCACTGTCAAATAAAATAAGGAGTTTCTTATTCCTATTATTTCCTACAAATGTGTTTTCTTAAAACTTAAGTAAGCCAACCAAGAAATGACTATTAACTATTACTATTAAAAGACTATAAACTATTAGTAGGAAATTTCAAGGTATGCAGAGTCAAACAAATTCAAGATATTTTGAAGGGGGGGAAAAAATGTAAAAACAGTATGAATAGCTCGTATCAAGTTAGGAAAAACCAAAGCCCAATATGCAAATGAACATATTTCGATGTGTCAATTTTGTGGTCAAACGTTAGTGGGGCAGGGGCCCAACATAAATGGCCAATCAAAATAACATGCGAGACTTTTAAATTGCACGGCTGATGAAACCTGATGGGGTATCTGCCTTCTCACTCTTTCAAAACATCTCTTCCCATCGTGGGAGTTTCCCTAAACTAGACATATTTATTAGTTGTACATTATTTGTACAAACTTTACCTTGTAATATTTTTGCAGCAAATTGCTGTGGAACAGTTTCGGTTTATGCTCGTTTGATCACATTTCTTGGGGCATATGTGTTGGGATGGGGAGAACAAATCTCCCTTTGATTCACAAATAGCTGTTCTCGCTACATATAAATTTAAAAAAGAGCGTAAGTTGAAAGAAGAAAAAAAACAAAACCAGGCAATCTGGGGTTAGAATCCTGGTCTCACCAGCAGGAAATAATGATCTTCAGGCTCTGCCCGCAGATACTTGAAGATGATCTGCTCCATGAACCTCTCCATCAGGTCCCAGTCCTCCACTATTCCGTGGCGGATTGGCCACTGGAAGAATGGTGAAGCAAAACTGCTTTAGCGCCACACAAATATAAAAAAAAAAATTTTAAATGTCCGCCTGCCCGCATTGCATTTACCTTTGTCGAGTATGCTGGTTTGTCGATGGCCTCGTCGCCAATGTAAAAATCCAAGTCGTCCACGCCTTTCATCATCCGGCGCTGCGCCTGGTCTCCCACCTTAGCCGACTCTTTGATGGCAATACCTGGAGAGTAAACCAAACACGATTCCACCGTAGTTCCAGTGAATTTCTAATTTGGTTCAATTGACCCTTTGCGCTGCTTAGGTGTCTGAATTAACTGGAGATCGTGTGCTCTTCACATAGAGGTGGAGAGGCCTCAACACAGTGGGACACTGTGACATATGAGCACAAACTTCCTGGTTTCATAAACAGCTCTTCTGAATCAGACAGTTTCTGAACAGATGAGCTAATGCTATTATTAGCTACTCAGAAAGTGGTGGGGGCAGCAGAATGTAATCTCCCCTCGATAGAAAAAACAAAAGACAAAACTCAAAATTGGTTTAAAAATAGGTTAAATCCACACAATTAGCAATTCATTTTCAATTGGTTAATTTTTTGTTTTTTTGCAGTAGACAAGCTAAATAACACCACCTTAACAGTATAATTTACAGCTAAAAAGAGCTTGAAAAACAGCCTAACAATTCTTCACACTTTGATATGCTAAACAGAAGTTCCCAACTAAGTTATTTAGAGAAAAGCAAACACCACGGACCCTGAGGTTTAAATGCATTATCCCGAACTAACCCGCTTTCTCTTCGCTCAGGTATAGGTGAAGCACTTTAGTTAAAAGCTTGCTCCACTTTGCCTTCCCCGAGGGAAGGTATGCTCACAATGTGGTGTCAGCATTCTCGATGGCCTGACTAGTGCACTCTCCCAAAATTTGGTGGTTAAAAAAAATATAAAAAAGCACCCTAACCTGACAACTGTAAGCAAAAGAGAAAATAGGAATATGCATATAACACCTAAGGCCAAACATTAAATCCATAAATATGAAATGCATTTTTAAAAATTCAGATATGTAAGGAATAGCCAGATGTGCAACTTTACAATCTTAAAGAGCATTATCGTGAATTGTGCTTAAACTTTGAACCAACAACACAAAAAAGCTCATTTTTGAGCGTTTTCGTAGACTCACAAGAAGGTATGATGAACTGTGGTTCTGTGTTTCCTGCATAGCCAAGCTTTGTGTACCTACAGAGAGGAGAGAACAGCAACACAGTTTTAGGCGTTTTTTCGGTTTTCTTTTTATTTAAACAGCTCAATATTCACCGAAAAACACACACAGATAAAGAATTTGCTCTAATATAACGGGTAACTACTCTCTGCAGTCAGGACTTTCCCGGAAGTAGCATTAGCTTCCGTAGCTAGCAGCGCTGACTGCGTAAATTAACCGAATTAAAACGGCCCAAACTTAACTTGTAGGACCCTTCGGTATTTTAATTGGGTGCACGGACGCTTGCTTTAAAGTCCACGGTCGAATTCAACAGTTAATTGCGATGACGGGAGAACGTCAGCGGCTTTCGGGCTACACAGAAAAATCTGCAGGGCGTTAGCTGGAAGTTTGACAACCACCGATGTGGTCAATGAAAAGCAAGGCTAACGAGAACTAGCGTCTTTGACTACTCACCCTGTGCCGCAGTCGACGACACAAGCCGGTAGCCGACCTGCCATGTTAGCGCTCCTTTAATCGATTCCAACGGCGTTTAAGAGAAAAATATAAGGCGCCCGACACTGACGGATGCCTTTTAAGGAACTGCTCGGAATCGCAGCTGCCGGAATGAACAGCAGTTAGGGCTGCATCGGGAGCACTTCCGGGTTCGGTGGTATTTCCTGCAATCCGCCGAGCTCTTTTTTTTGAAGAGTCAACCGCGCCCCCGGGTGGACAAAGAGCGCTATTACAGCTATTTGAGACGAGCACGATTTCAATGATGAAAATACACATTTTTATAATTAAAGATACACGTAAAAACAAAACTAGTGTCATTCCTTAAGTGAGATAAAACCTGAATTATGTGCGACACATATTGTAACAATATGATGAAAAATCAACATATGTAATTATGTCAATATTCTGTATCTAAACAGGCCTTTCAATACATAGTCTCAGTTTAAAGTCTTTGTACAGAATTTCATTCAGTTTTTTTTTTTTTTGCGTTAACCATTTGAAGTGTTGTTTGATAAAAAGCTAATGTTTGTGAAAAGAAAAAATCTTTAATAACACCACCTCCAGGTGAGGCTTGTGAGTGAACTAAAAAACTTATTTTTTTAAATCCCAACTATGATTCTAAAAGCATGAACATTTAAGTGTTGTCATTGTGTTAAGAAAGAAATTCTACCAAGATAGAGAATAATTTTGTCCAGTGATACTTTTTTCGTTACGGCCCTCGTCATATATCAAAACATTACAAACCTTACGTAAAAGTTTCTGAACCCCAGATATCTATCATGTTGTTTTCAAATGAGCGTTTAACTAAATTCTTTCATCCACAGCTACTTATGAGGATACTGGGTTTATTGTCTGGCCCAAAGACACTTCAACAAGCCTGGACAAGAATCACTGGTAGGCAACTGCTCTTCTTCCGGAGTTACAACCACCACCAATGGGGGTTAGACAGGAGAATTCTTCCTTGGGACTTCCACTGTTCAAGGCCTTCCCCTAACAGGACTCATTCTTTTTTTTCCAGTTGTGGGTTTTCATCC